AGAGAGAGAGAGAGAGAGAGAGAGAGAGAGAGAGAGAGAAAGAGAGAGAAAGGGAGAGGGAGAGAAGGAGAGGGAGAGAGGGGGGAGAGGAAGAGGGAGAGAGGGAGAGGGAGAGGGAGAGAGGGAGGAGGGAGAGAGAGAGAGAGAGAGAGAGGACTTGAATGTATACTAGGCGTGTGTTCTGTCGTGTTACTGTTGAGTCTAACGAGTACGTAGGCGTACCCGCATATCGGTGAGCGCGCCGCCTCTGTTTACCTATCGTATTCGATTTGTGATACGCCAACTATTTCTCTTTATAACTTAAAAATTAAGTTTTGAACAAATTTTTGCCAAAGGACAAATCGTCTCAAAATACGGTCGAGAATATGTCCCTTTAAGGACAAAACAGTATTTTGAATCATCCTGTATATATGTAACACATATACTCTACTGCTTGGCATCTCTAACAAATCCTTTCCAGGCCCTTGTAAGTTAATTCTAATAAATAAGTACTTATAAAATTGATGCATCTCTATCAAATCTCGATGAGGCCTTTATCAGATATAAGTAAGGAAGCCTTTCTTATGGCATTTCTAATAAATTATGATCAGGACCTTATAGGATAAAATAAAGAAATCTTTTTTATGCCACTCCTAATAAATATCAAATCCCGATCAGTGCCTTATATTATATAGGGCTGTCCCTAACAATTTTCTATTACACGGGATACTACGTTATCTATCGACCTATCGATGTTATCTATCCACCTTTCGATGTTTTCATCTATTCAACTATTTACGTTATTTATTTGGCTATTTATGGTATTAACCATCTGCCTACGTTATCTATCTACTCATCCATGTTATCTATCTACTTTCCCACACTTTTGACACCTTTTTCGCATCTTTTCTACACTTTTTCACATCTTCTATATGTGTATTACGAATATAGAAAAGTTGCATTAAAAATATTGTCACGTTTAAAATCTGCGAGAATTAATTTCGCATTAATGCGAAATATTACCACCGATCATTAAAAAGTATGCAAGAGAACGAGAATAAAAAAAAGAAGTGACTATCTCGCAAACGTCATGTATTTGTATAGATCAAATAACAGCATATGTAAGTTAGTAGAGATTAATTGATATATACGAGGGGGGACCCATAAGTTCCGGGAATTACGCTGTGGTGGGGAGGGAGAGTGGGGGAACCTATTGTTTGACCACATGTCCGTTAGTGTCACGCCACCTGCGTCAGTGTGCGAAGTTGTGTCGCTGTGAGTGCATTGGTTCGCCTGTGAGATTTTTTTTAGTAAAACAACTTTTTACATTTCGACGAAAACGTAATGGCAGATTGTCGAGAACAATCGCGGCTGTGAAATTTTGTGAAGCAATTTTTGACCAAAAACGCCGTGACACCAATTGTCCACCCCCCATACTCACCGGATCTAGCCCCCTGTGACTTCTTTTTGTTCCCCAAATTCAAAAGGAATATGAAAGGAAAGCGTTTTGCCACTGTGAAGGAGGTGAAACAAAAATCGCTGGAAGGCTTAAAGGACATCCCGATGAGTGAATTTAAAAACTGTTTTGAACAATGGAAGAATCGTTTGGAGAAGTGCGTTGTGGTCAATGGCGAATACTTTGAAGGTGATTAAAATTTGGTGTTAAAATATTGAGAAATAAAGAAGTTATGACGAAATTGCCGTTTTTTTTTGGGTCCCCCCTCGTATGTTCAGTTCGAATTCTAAAGATACATCCAGAATAAAGTTTCTTCGATTTATAGACTATTTCTTTGAATCGGAATAGGTTATGCATTGTTATTCCTGCGCTTAATGAAAAATTTTTTTTATTTGGCCGTTATTTTTTTTAAATCAAATATATTTTTATTTTCCTCCGAGGTACTCTTACTTTAGTTAAAAAAAAAAGTAATTATTTTTTCAATTTAAACGTAACTTTTACACGAGTGTATATAGTTTCATTAAATTTGAAACAAACTAACTTCCGTTGCGCAGAATAGCTCGTCGGACAAATTAGTCAGGTCGGGAATGAAAGAGATTCGTTGCGGAGAGAGAAGGCGCGTACAAATAACGCACATAATTATGTAACAAAAAGAAATACAAATACTCTTTATTATATACAGCACGATACGAACAAATAATTCAAATACAATAAAATAAAATAAAATAAAATGAACAGTAAAATAAATAGACTAACGATAGGACTCGTTGCACTCGGTAATGCAAAAACACGGACCAGGCGCTGATGCCACACCAATATGATCGCGAAGCGCGTCGCGGAATTCGAATGTGCCTAGCATATGGCACAGCTGAGTATAGGCGCGGGCGCGACCGGCGGCCGAGAACACCCGGCAGAGGCGAAGAAAGCTTTACCCCCTTTCTTGTTGCCGATCGCGTCGTGTATAAGATTGCGGCTTTTGCCTTTCGACTATCAGGAACGCCCGATGGAGACAGAGAACGCCTTATTCCCTTGTCTCGTCTACTCGGAGGATACAGCGGGAATCGACTTCCAAAAGTGCTGAGAACGCCCAACGGAGGCGAAGCCCGCTTCACTCCCTAAATACAATATCGGCCGGAATTTCGCGGCAGGAAACTGCTCATAGCGGATCAGGATTACTATCGAGTCAATAGGATCTGGTCGTTGGATAGGAATCGGAGCAAAAGCCTTTCTGTAAAAATTTGCAGCCTTTTATATGACGGATTTTTGGAGGATTCAGTGAAGCTCGGTTCGGTTCGTACATTTTCGCCGAGTGGTACCCCCACATGCTCGGCAGCATTCGATCGTTCTCACGGAACTTCGGGTGGTACCTGCGAAATTATGTTTGCGGTTTTTAAAAAATATTCGGGCGCATTGCAGTGATGCGAATTCCAAACCGCTTGCAGCACGCGATCAGTGCGCCGGTCGATGGCCTGACGCAACTGGTAGCAACACAAACATGAGTCCGTGTCCGTGTGACTTGATTAGTTAGAAGCGTGCCAACTATATCGCTCTGACCTTTTCGCACTTCGTTCTTATTGCTTTATCGGCGCGCTAAGAGCGACAGAGAACATAGTCTCACTCAAACAAGCGTACAGCTACCGAAATATGTTTTTTCGTTCTCTGTGCGTCAGCGGTCAGACCTGTATCAAGAGGCATGGGGACGTTCTAGATACATAACAAAATTTTTAATAAATCGTAATAATCATATACTTCTCCTATTATTTAGAATATTATAAATAAATCGTGTTAAAACGTGATTGACGAAAGATTAATTGTTTATGATTTTCCACGCGTGTTATATGTATACTGCGTTCATAAATTCAATCCGCAAGAAATTAATGTGGTTGAGCGTATAAGGTGTGTCAGAAATAAGTAATCAAATTAGTAAATATTGTATCTTTTGAGTATTATATTAATCAATTGCAATCGGTGGTTATTTCGATGACTTTGACCCAAAGAATGAGACTTATTGCTAAATATGCGACTTGGTGCTTTTGACATAGTTGCAACTAATAATGTATGCAGGACATTCTTTTTTGACAGAATCGGTATAATCTCTCTGAATGTTATTTCGGCTATTTTATATAAAGTTACTACATCCGCCATTAGTCAATTTGCCACGATTTTTCAAGACTTGTAATTTTGAATGGCATACATTGTTATTCGTTCGGTTTTTGTTAGTAGTGCAAATTTTTTCCGAATATCTCCGGTTCTGGTTGCCTAATCGGGCAATCCAAATATGTTTTGGAAAGGTGACAGTCCGCTCTTTTCATCTGTCAAATTTGGTTTCATTGGCATTAGTTTTGTTTGTGCTATAGATCTGTGAACATGTCGGAGAATAAGGTGCATTTTCGGCACATTTTGCTTTATTACTTCAAGAAAGGCAAGCGAGCTGCGGAGGCCCACCGAAAGATATGCGGCGTATACGGGGACGATGCCTTAACAGAACATGCCGCTCAGAAATGGTTTACCAAATTTCGTTCCGCAGATACGAGTCTTGAAGATGGACCCCGCAGCGGTCGGCCCACCGAGGTTGATTCGAATGATATCAAGGCACTGGTTTAGCAAGACCGGACGCTAAAGGTGCGAGAGATTGCGGAGACACTTAAAATAGGTTATGGAACCGTACAAAGGCATTTGCAACAGCTTGGCTACGTGTCCCGCCTCGATGTTTGGGTGCCGCACAAGCTGACCGAGGAGAACCTGGCCAACCGCATATCCATCTGCAATTCACTTCTGAAGCAACACGAAAGCGACCCATTTCTCAAACGAATAGTGACTGGCGACGAAAAGTGAATCATTTATGACAACATAGTGCGCAAGAGAACGTGGGGAACCACTGGCGAGCCGCCGAATGCCATCCCGAAGACCGGCCTGCATCCGAAGAAGATTTTGCTATCCATATGGTGGGATCATCGTGGTGTGCTGTTTTACGAGCTGCTTCCTCAGGGAAAAACGATCGATTCGAAGATCTACTGCACGCAGCTAACGAAATTGAATCAAGCATTGCGACAGAAACGTCCAGAACTGATCAATCGCAAAGGTGTCATATTCCACCATGACAACGCCAGACCCCACACCGCAATAATCACTCAGCAAAAATTAGTGCAACTTGGCTGGGATGTTTTGCCTCACCCACCGTATTCACCAGACCTTGCGCCATCCGACTATCACTTGTTCCGGTCCCTGCAAAACTCCCTCAACGGGAAATCGTTCGCTGATCAGACAGCTGTGAAAACGTACCTCGACCGGTTTTTCGCCTCTAAGCCCCAGACCTTCTATGAGAGCGGAATAATGAAATTGTTGGAAAGATGGCAAGAGGTCATCAACAAAAACGAAGAATATATTATTGATTAAAATTCATCCTTTGTATAAAAAAAACTTGTTTCATTTTAGCCTTCAAAAACCGAACGAATATATAGATCCACCCAATAAAATTATGTGGACGAAAATTTTTTATTCGCATGTTATTACATCGTGTTTTTTTTCGTACGTATTAAAAACTGAAGCTAATAGCTCGTAATCGATGAGTTGACGTCCATTGAAGAAGCCGCTGTCACGTATGGCGTTCCCAGACATGATATTTGAGAATCGCGTATACTTTGCATCAACCATATCGAGTCGGACTAATCGTTCGAACATTACATCAATACACCCGTCAAAGTCAAACATACGGCGTAACGTCGTTTCGGTCATCGTAATGCGTACGGACGAAGAATCGAGACGTACGAGCGTAGCATCGTTCAGCATACAAACTCTGACGATTAGCGGTCCAACACTTATAAAATTGTCCTTGTATTCGTTTCGAAGCATTTTGTAAATATTCCATCGCTGCTCGTAGAGACTTCCAGGTTTCGAGAGACAGCGACAGTTCGTGTCCGCGATGATCTCCCAGGACGATCTCCACGTAACTCGGTGAACCAACGTTGATTCCAAATTTCCAAAAATTTATAGCCCGTAGTCGTCGTAACGTCTGCTCAGTAAACGCATTGCACGATGCTGCGGACTGCATACATATATACATATAATACATAATGTTAAAAAAAAACGTTTTTTTTGTGTATAGAATGTTGAAACTTACATATTATATTCCTTCTTCACGTCATACGATCCTCTGCTCTCTTTGGCGAAGTACATTTTTTTTAACCGTTCGTACAAGCGGGTATGCAAGACTGATCGCATCCGCGTAAATTGTGACGTATATGGTAATACTTCTGAAATCGAAGAGGGGAGACAGGCCCTCCTCACTCTTTTCAAGAATTTCAAACGTGTCGCGACATGTTTTATCACGTCTTTCTACATATTTTTTTGTCACAAGCTTATACATACGTTTATACATACATACATTTATACATACATATGTTTATTCATACATATGTTTATACGTACGTTTATACATATATGTATAATACATACGTACATACGAGTACATGTATTACAAAGGAAGGGAAAAGAAATACATAATAAATATGTTAACGTATTTTTATTTAAAAATTCTTTTGCAACCATCAGTTATATATTTTCAATACATTTTTTAACGCGCAATTCTTAACATGTTGTTCACATCGCATAGTATTAGTAACATTCAGATTAGTTAAAGATTCCATGTCTTCGTAAACTGCATCCAAGGTCTCGATGTACATGTGTTCTCGCTCATCATCCAGAAGCAGTTCCACAGCCTCGTTTGTTTCTCGCGTCCCTTAACGTACTCGATAGCATCATCTTCAAATACAAATGCCGTGATCAGGCGTTTCGCCTGGTACGGAACCATCCCGTCCTCCCATCGCAATTCATGGTAATAAGTACTCAATCAGGAAGCGCAAGATCTGTCGGATCTTGTCAAAAATTTCCATGGCACAGGACTCGTAAAAATATAATGTGTGAGAACGGTCCCCTATTTCAGCACCGCCACTTCCTTCACGATAAATTTCTTATTAACGATGAATCCTTGCAGATCCACGAACGTTGGCACAGACATGTTGTCGAGAATACTGCGATCGATTGCGGCATATCGTAGATTTTATATCGTGTCGGAGATGCACTTAGGTGATTTTGCGCACAACGTTGGTCAACGGATTATACTGAACCACACGATCGTGTATGATGAGCAGGCTGTTGTATTTGCGGGCACGTTCTTCTTACATACAAAGTCTAATCGCACGTCCACGGTGCCACTCTTGACCGATTCGTTCTGTCGAGAACAATCGATGATCACGAACGGACCATTACATAAAAAAGTTGTAAAGGTAAGACTCGGCTCGTATCCATAGTAGCCCTTGCAGAAATGCGCGTACAAGTCGTACAGAATCGCGCAGCTGTTTTTTTTTATCAAAATCCAGATTCAAGTCATCGTACGGATAACATTCCGTATTCAGGTAGGATTTCGCATTGGTTAATTTGCAGTGGTCGAATCGGTTTATATCCTCGGACATGACATTTTTTCGACCTGTTTGCATAGCGAAAATGACATAGCGCGGCTTCTCGAGCTGACTAGCCGTCTTGATGGCCCACGAATGTTTAGTTGTGCTCTGCAAGAAACTCGTACAGATCCCAAGAGCGAAAAGCCATGCTCAGATATCGTCCGCTCTCCAAAGCGCGCAGCATCGACAGCTTATTTATCTCGCTCAATAATACATGCGGCATTCGCCACTGTACTTTGAATAATTCGAGCGTCGGCTCTATTACCGGATCTCCCTAGACAATTGTTGTCGTTGCGCGCTCGTATTAAAATCAATTTGTGACGAGTATTGATCACCACACGTTTGTAATCTTCGCAAAATATCAGCAGTACGTAGAGCGGTACACAGAAATTAAAGTATCCGCTCGCAGTAGTCTGCGCATCCCAGCCGGCATTGATTCCGCAGAATCACGCTTCTGTCGGATGACACTGTTACATGGTTTTTGATCGTGCTAGTAATGCCCACGTTTCTGTTACGATCAATCTCCACACCGTTGAGTTCATATTGAATCTCATCGAATATAAACGCAACGCAATTATTTCCGAATGACACGTTAGCACCCTGGACCACTTTGTTCTTCGTCAGTTTTCCCTCGACGTATAGAAAGCTTTCGTACGGCAGTGTGTACAGATCCTGCACATCACATCCTTGCTGCATGGGTATTCTTATCTCGTCGCTGTACCCGAACGTTGTGTTGGCGAACGGGTTGTATATGTGAGTCTCAATCTTGACGATGCGATCGTCGAAGATCGGCTCGTCTTTAATGTTTAGGATATCAGTCATCTCAAATGATGCGCACCGCGAATCTCAAAGACTTAAAAAATGTAACGTTCGACGCGCTGAGCTTCTTCTTCCTAATGCAGTTGGATGAGCGAGTGTTATCGAGCTGTGACGTCGTCGGAGTTGTAAAGAATACGTTATCTCTCTGCGTGGGCTCCGTTCCGTTCAGCACGAGCATCTCACGCTTACGTTATCACTGTTTATGTCGTACGTGTAATCTAACGATGATTTCTTCTCCTCGAAAATCGAGCAATCCGTCCGTTCTGGTCGATGACGCGTATCGTTAGGTCCGTAATGCTCCGTGCGATGATCGGTAGGTAAATGATCTGCGTCGGCCTCTCTGATATCTTATATCCTGGCGGCACGCTCGGCGAGAATTCGTGTATTGTATGCACGCTTTTGCCGTTGTTGTACACACCAGTGGTCACGTTACACTCTACGCGGATAACGTTTACGTTCATTATGTTGATCGACATGTCCGATTCGTGCCATCTTCGCGGTCGCAGTATACGCTTCAACGAGAATCCCAACAGCGATTCAATGCTGTTGGGCTTGTCAAAGTTTATTCTCTATGCACATCTAATCTCGCATCTCATCGTGTTGTAGTTTGCGCGAAGCGTAATCGGATATTCTCCACCCTCACCATTATCGTCATCGATGTCATTGTTGTTATTGTCATCGCACTACGTCAACAGTTTCAAGCGCGTCGCGGTGCTGACGTATCCGTAAAATCGTGAGTTTCAGAAATTCATTTATATCTCGCACTTCGTCTCGAACCTTCGGGAACTGTAATTTCCACGTCATCTTTGGCAAAATAAAATTTGTTGTTCGATTTATTCACGTTTGGTATCGTGTGATAAGTCTCAAAAATCGCCAGACCGAGCTTGTAATCGCCGTCAAATCTATGGCGGGAAAGTAGGCGCGAGGACGGTGCTCTTCCCGCTCAGCGTAAGCGTCAGCGACATTACGGAAAAAGCGTTCAACTTATATTGAGATTTCACAGCATCTCGTCGAGCTTTTTAAATTCATGCGCGTCTATCATTTGTAGAAACCGCAGACACATCTGTCTGCAGAAGCTCTGATCGTACGTCTGATAGGACGTACGATTGTACTCTATCGTCGTAGCACCGTTCCCGAAATATCGCACAAGTTCTTTGGGAGGTCGAAGATTATCGAAACTGTTAAAGTATACGACTCGGTTGTTCCTCTTTGCGTACGCTACCCAGTGAGTATCAGGCCCCGTCGCATCCAGATTCACGATATCGTTTCGACGCGCACCGCTCGTCGGTAACGCGTTACGCATGAAAACGCCTCTAAAGTATGGTA